TAATCTTTCACAAAAGAAATAAATTATTAAACTTTGCAAACAAGGCACCTAAAAATTATTACTAACATTGCAACCCGCATAATACGCACTCGGTCCTTCCAATCGAGGCGTGCTAGAAGATAGCGATCTAGAAGGCCTCGAACATGGCAAAGGGTGTAGGTGTGTGGTTCACGTTGGTCGGCGTCAGCATATTCATGTCGGTGCTGATAAATAACGTTGCCTGCACTGGGGACGTGATAGAGGTGAAGGTTAAAGAAACAAAAATTAAAAATTGAGTTTCCCAATTTTCTCCTTTAAATAATTTCGTAAAGCGCCGCTCTCAATACCCTAGCCCCTAACTTCGTCGCCCCAATTTCCGTCACTTTCTCCCACAAATTCCCGTCAAATTGCCTTCCTCGATGACAATAAGACTCCGGCCAGTGGTCGTTTCTGACCGCTTGGCCCTCTCCTAGCTTCGCAAGTCTTCGATGTCTCTGCAGGTGTCGCGATTGGTGGCCTTTCTTAGTCGCCGGTGAGATTGTGTCGTGTGGTGGAGCTCCCTCGGTCTGAGTCGGAAGGTCTCTCCTTAGTCGCCGACAGTCTTTGATTGGAGGAGGGAAGCTTCGATCTTCTTCTGGCTGGCATTTTGGAGGTCGTCTAGGTCGGCTTCACTGTTCACAACGGGGCTTCCGGTGGTTTGGGCTCTGGTCGGCGGCAGTTTGCAGTGGTGTTGGGAGGAGTGTGGGCCGGGGGTCGGGGCGGGACTCTGGATGCTGTGGCGGTCCTGTTGTGGCGACCGGGGTTGAGGGAATTCCTCACCCTTCCCTGTTGGCTAGTGGTGTTAGGAGGTGGGGGACCTGGTTTGTTCGAGCTTGTCTAGTGGTGTTAGAAGGGTTCAGGCCAGGACTGGTGTGGGGGCGAATTGTTTTCCTCTCGGTTGGTGACGGGTCGATTCTGGGATTGGTTCAGGCTCGGAGTTGGCTATTGTATAGGCAGTTGCACAGTTTCGGTAGTGGTTCTTTGGGCTTGAAATCTCTCTTGTGTCGATTGTTCATTGTTGGTTGGATCGGTTCGATTGCTGAGGAAGGGCTTTGAGTGTTTTTGTTTTTGTAGCACTTGTTTTGTGTTGTTTGTGTGTTAGTAAATGTGTTTTAGGTTTGGGGCGTTGGTCTCTGTGAGCCCGAGTGTTACCTTATTATCCTGTTGGGATCCGACACTCGGGTATTACCCTGTTGGGGTCTTTTTAGTGTTCTAGTGTTTTTTGTGTCTTAGTGTTTTGTTTGTTCGTGAGTTTGCCATTCTAGCATTGCTAGACGGTTCTAGGGGATCTTCGGATCTGCCTCCCAGTTTTATAGCCTCTAGTTGTACTATTCAGCTTTTGGCTGCTTTCTTTTCGCACTTTGTGCGGTTTTATTAATATAGTTCCTCTATCGTTTCGGAAAAAAAAAAATCTCTTTTATGCCATATCATCTCATGGTCTTTACCTTAAGAATTGAGAAAAATCAAGCAGCGTCGTTTATGCCAATAGGAGATAAAAATAAATAAATAAATAAGAGATTAAATAGGAGAAATTTTGGACATCTTACTAGTCCTCTCGCTCGCAGCTGCAGAAGGAGAATTTGGTAGGGTTTACGACTTTTGGCAACTACTTGAGGGTTCTGAATCTACAGATCAATCGACTCTCAGCAACCACTTCGAAGCTCACGCAAAGAATGCAACACGATCTCACACTTCAGTTTTTCTCGATTTTATTTTCCAAGACACCTTCTCAATCATCTTAGCCACTCACGCCGTCACAGTGCATGATATCACCGTTTCCTACACGCGCATCACCAAAGGATTATTCACTTGAGAAGATGCGGAAACTTTTGGGGTTTGTTAGCAGGCTGGGAGAAAGAATAGAGAACATTTTTGGGGAAAAAAATGGAGGTTTCAATTGTTGGTGACCGAGAGTTGTATGATTTAGGGTTCGAAGCATGTTCGGTGGAATTTCATCACCATCTCATTTGGTGCAGGCTCTTTCGAATGCGGAGAATGAGAGACATATTTTCCTCGTACTCTTTTCCGCAATAATGAAACAGACGTGTGATGGTGACGTGCAACAGAAAACTTAAAATTTTGTCACATATAAATGACTAATTAGCCGCAAAAAGTGGCCTAAAGTGAGGGCATTTTTGTCCACTGAACATGTCAAGAAGAGAAGTGAAAATGACGTCGTTTCTAAGCTTGGTCCCAAAAAAAAAAAAGTTTTGCTACATGTCGCCTCCTAACATTGCCACGTGTCACCATGTGAGGGTGACTTATCTCTATATAGTAATAGTATACACACACACACACACACACACACACATATATATATATATTAAAAATTCGGTACCAACTGGTATTTTGACCGGTATTTTCTAGTAAAATCAAAATTTTTTGATATGAAACCAATATAAATCGATATTTTGGCCAAAACGATATTTAGAGTGTAACCGTACCAGCTGTACCACTAGTATCTGGTGTTACCGACAATACCGACCAGTACGATAAGATATTTCAAACTAAATAAAACTTTAAAATTATATATAGTCAAGTAGTATGGGTACTTGATAAAGATTAATTAGAATACTAAATAAAAATGAGCACTCATCATTGTTAAAATCTAATTAATATTATTAGTAGGTCTTGTATTAAGTCGAACTAATTATTAGACCGATATATTATTTTTTACAATATATATACTTTTATTAGAAAATGTCATACTTTAAAAAATATAATAAAATAAGATATTTCATAATATAAATATTTATTTTTATTGATAGAGTATCTATATATATATAATAAGAATTACCATTTTTTAAAAATAGTAAGTCAAATCTTAGTCAAACTCCCATTGACATTTATTACATGCCATTATGGCAATTCTTTTTTCAACTTAAATACTGGGAGCTTTAAATGTTGCCCTTCAAATGTAGAAATTGTTTCGGCAAACTTAAAAAAATATCATCCATAAATCTCGGTAAGTTTAAAAAGTCAATATCATCCCATCGCATACCATCATTAACCTACATAATCCCATATAAAATTTGGAAATTGTTTCGGCAAGCTTAAAAAAAATATCATTCCATAAATCTCGATAAGTTTAAAAGGCATCCATCGCATGTCATTATAAACTTATAAATCTCGGTAAGTTTAAAAGGTCAGTATCATCCCATCCCATGCCATCATATACCTACAGAATCCCATCGTATAAATGTGAGTAAGTTTGAAAAATCTCACCATTGTAACTGATTTTTCAGAATAATAACTAATAATTAATAAAAAAAACTAATTCACTCTAATGTCTAATTACTAATATAAATCCCTTATGTATGTCTAATTACTAATATAAATACTTGATCTGTGGAAAGATTTTTTTTTTAAATGAAGCTAGAAGCTAATTTTCACTATCTAATTACTAATGTTTTTTCAAATATTGTTAACACTTATAATATTTTAGATATTTTAAATATTATTATGACAAAGATTAAGGAGTTATATATATATATATATATAGAGAGAGAGAGAGAGAGAGAGAGAGAGAGGATATATTTATACATATATAGAGGTAAACTTGACTATTCTTATACATGTTTTCCTTACTATATATATATACACACACATATATGGAGGTTAAACTTTAGTATTTTTAGACACATTTTTCTTACAATATTTTAGAAAAAAATTAGATGGCTTCAATCATTTTCAAGAATAATATAGAATATTTTAGACACTTTTTATATATGTGATATAATATTTCAGATGTTTTTAATATGAATAAGATTTATCACATTTTTATCCACCAGAAATATAAAATACATACAGTAAAAATTTAATAGAAAAAATGCAGAATTAAATACCCTCTTCAATTTTTGTCTTAATCCCAGTTAGATATAAAATCTCTTTTGTATTTGTAAAATTGATAAATCTGTGTGTGGAATTGCTTTTTAGATAACAACTTTGTCTTAATCTAGATATAAAATAAATGCAATTTAACTGTTAGATTTGCATTAATCTCAATTTGTATTTATAAAATTGGTAAATCTACATGTGTGGAATTGTAATAAATGTCATTTTATTTGTTAGATTTGCATTAATCTCGATTTGTATTTATAAAATTGATAAATCTACATGCGTGGAATTGTTATGCGTACAAATTTCTTTTTACGGTAACAACTTTAAAAAAATAATATAATAATTTTCAAATCTTCTGTACTCAAATTTTCAGATGTGGAAGTACCTTATAAATCTCGGTATCATGTGAATATTTTATATATACTATGTAAATTTTCTCTCAAGAACTTTATAATGTCTTTATTTATCCATGTTTTAGATACTTTTATATAATATTTTATCATGTCATATTCTATATATATATACATATACATATATGCATATACATATTAAGTTTAAATATTTTTATACATATTTTTTTTACAAAAGAGTTTAGAAAACATCTATCATACAAATGTGAAATTTAAATGTTTTTAGACATGTTTTCTTTCCAACATAGTTTAGAAAAGTTGTAAGTGACTTCATATCTTTTAATAATAATATAAATTTTTTTAGATACTTTTACCCATGTTAATATAATATGTTAGGTGTTGTTAATATTTTAAACCTACAAATTTTATGTTTTACTGTACAAGCTAATTTTATATGATTTATAATAAACTGAATTTTATGTTCTCCTATACAAGCTAATTTTATATGGTCTATAATAAACTGATATACGATAAACCATATCACATGTTAATCTCATATTTTTAATTTATAATTATTATTCAATATTGTTTACCCTCATATTTAATCTATAATAATATTTTTTTCTTATTTTCTGAAAGAGGATCAATAGTAATTTTTCACTTCTTTCGTGATTCGAACTCGACAGCTATTTATAATCAATATTTAATATTGTTACCCACGGGCTATACACTAGTAAACCCATATATCCATTTTAAATAGTAGTTGTTGTCCCTCTTCTCACACGCTCCGAGGCCAGCGATTGGTCTCCACGCTCCACCCTCCTCCATTTGACCATTCCACGCGAATCAAGCGGGGCTGGCACCAAAGTCCCGCGATCCCCCGCCATTTTCGTTTCCTGTGAAGTTCGTTCCTCTGGTAACAATCAATAAACGGGGAACTGAAAGCGGGCGGTTGTTTGTTCTCCGGGTCTGCTCGAATATTTGCAGAACCGGCATCGTCGATTGCTAAATTTGAGCGAGAGCAGCTGAATGAGAAACGACTTTCATGTTCCTTATTCGAGATTCTAGATTTGGAAGTGACTCCTAGAATTAAAGTGGGGAGCTTTTCTCTCAGAGTTTCGATCGGATCCTCGAATTGATAGCTCATTTGCCAGATCATAATATTTTTTTTAACTAATTTTCGAGGATAGGATTGTTTGTTAATTCGGAAAGAAAAATGTTGGAGATTATGTGGAGGGACCCGGGAACTCCTGCTGATTCTTATTATGAGGTGCGGCCTGATTGCGCTGATGTTCCTGAAAGCAAGTTCAGAATCAAGGTTTGTTTATGATCCTTTTCTGTTTCATAAGATGATAACAATCATTTTATCTTGTCATATTCTTAATTTATTGCAAGTTTTATTTGTTTGATTGAGCTGTAAATTGCATTTCAGTGTTAGATTTGTCTGAGAAAACAGTATGAGTTCATATACAAGAGAGAGAGAGAGAGAGAGGACATCTTAAAATCCTGTTGAATTTACATTTACAACTTTGGAGTTTATTTGTTATGCTATCAAGTACGGTTGTTTGGTCATTTATTTGTTAACTTTTTTTCAGTGTATGAATCTTGAAAATAATGATAAGAATAGTGTGTGAAGTTTTGTAGTTAAGGAGAGTCCTTGAGGTTAAAAGACAATGGCCTAGCTAGACTATTTTTTCAGTCGTCATAAATGGATTTCTGCCTTGTCAATTGGATGTTTCTGTTCTATTATGTTCTCTGTCTCGCTAATGTATTTTCATGCTACTAACTCGTTTCAATGAGAGTTTTGTGCCTGGCTTTCATTAGAAATATTGCTCATTTAGTGTGAGCTAAAACTCTAGCTTTGATTCGACTCTATGTATTAAAGCGGTTTCCTTTTCTACTCAACTAGGCTGGCAAAACTTTAAGTGTCCGAAAATGGAAAGCTGCTTTCTCCCCGGAAGGTCATCTTGATATAGGCAAAACACTCAGTCGAATTCACCGTGGGGTAAGCTTTTCCCTATATTTTTTATAACTTCTGCTTCTTGCATTGTGAACGTTATTATACTTGCAAGAAGACTTTTCCTCAGTGTAGTTATGTGTCTTCTTGACTAAGGTCTGTTGTATTCTGTAATAATTTTCTTTCCTTTGACCAAATGTTTCTTCCTTTTATCCTCAGAAACCGGGGTGATACTGTGTTGAGTTTCATCATATCAGAAAGAGTTTTACTTATTAAGTCTCTTGTCTTAGCTTTTGTCTTGTTTTATTATCTTATATTATCTGTCGACAATGCATCAATTAACATGAGGAGAAAAATTATGATCTGTTTTGATGATTATTCAAAATATAATAAAAAATAAAAGAGGAATTAATTGAGGAAATTTGTTATTCTCACTAAGCAGGGGATTCACCCAACAATTAGAGGTGAAGTTTGGGAATTTTTATTGGGTTGTTATGATCCTATGAGCACTTATGAGGAACGAGTGCAAATACGACAAAGTCGAAGGTAATCAATACTGCTGATCATCCTACTATAATGACCATCTTTTCTTGGTAATTCTTTTCATGTGCAAACTCAGTTAAGTTCCATGCTTTTGTTGTCCATTGTATGGAATAATGTGTTGCTTTTTCTGCAAAAAGTTTGTGTCCATATAATCAAGTTGCAGTTGCGACTTTGGGAAATGAGTACTCTAATTTGTTTAATTTCATATGATAATGTTTTATTAGCAAGTAGGCGGCACTGCTTTCTTTCTTTTTTGCTTGTTTCCTCAATTTTAATTAGTTATTTGAAGGGATATGCAACCTCTTTCACTTGAAACCAAGGCATGCATGTGCAAGAGGCAGAGAACAATCGACAAGAAAAGGGCATCATGGAAGTTCATCTTTCTTTCAATGAATTATGTTTTGCTAGATTGATGTAGGTTAAGCTTGTTCTAAATCCTAATACTCCATGTTTGTTTAAGCTTATTACTAAAACTAAACATGCTGCTTGAGTTGCTTGGTGAAATGGATGTCCATCTCTGTACTAAAAATTGGCCTAGGCGCTATGTACTGCCCGACCACCTCCGATTTTCATAAATCGGATGAAAAATTCGGCCAGGTGGCTAGGCGGACTTGGCTGCCAGGCGACTTGGCGGCGCCTAGGCGCTCCTAGGCGGGCTCGGCGGCAATTTTTCAAAAATTTTTTAAAATTTTTTTAAATACTAATTACATTATTTCGTTATCATGTTTTTTTTATAATATATTAATATTATTATTTGGACTTAGGTTTGTTGATTTATTATATATTGAGATAGTTTTATTTTGTAGGTAGTGAAAATAAATAAAAAGTAAGGTATTTAATCTTGATTTCTAGGCCCCGCCTAGGCGCTCGACCAGGCGCTCGTCGAGCGCCTAGCAGGCGCAAGCGACTTCTAGAACAATGATATCAATCATTAATTGTTACCTTTTCCCTCTTTTGGAGTTCCTAAAACTCCTGAAGTGATCTATCTAGTGCTTGTACTGTGTTATTACTTGGTTAAATTATTTTTCTTTTTGTAGCACTGGGTATTTTGTTTGACTGAGCCAAGCTCTTCCACTATTTGGAGATATGCCAAAGGAAAAGAAAATGAGTGCTATTAAAAATCTGAATAGCTAGCTGAATAACAAAAAAAAAAGAAAAAAACAATTAACTAATTTAGTCATTTATCACTTGTAATGTAAAAAGTGGCATTTTATCTTTCTCTTATGTCTTACCTCTTAGGAAAGACGACGTCGTTTTGCTTGCATTTAACTTTTGCATGGATATAAAATTGTAAACTCATGTTGCATGTAAACTAATTTAACGGAATATGATGAGTTACAACTTGAGACTTCTACATGGTATCCAGAGCAAGTGACAATCCACTGAAGCTTTCACACAACCCTAATGGCGGCTAATCGAAATAATATGGAGGCATGGCCGATACTCAATGCTCAAGGAGGAAAGGATCAGAAATTCTAGAGGATAATCCACTATTTTTACATGGATTGGATCATTCAGTTTTGCAACTCTTCTCGTATCCGCTTATTGGATCTAATTTTCTGGCATGGAAACGATCGTGATGATCACACTTGGTGCAAAGACAAAATTACGGTTCATAAATAGTACCGCGGAATCTCCGGAGCAGGGTGATGTGAATTATAGTAAATGTAAGAAGATTGGCTAAATGGTAATTTCGTGGATTTTGAATTCGTTGTCGAAAGTATTAGACGCTTTCACATATGATGTATTTGTGAAGGATTTATGGAAGGAAATCTGCTAACGGTTGGAGAAAGCAATGGTCCATTGATATATCAAAGAGACATTTCGAATCTTAAGCAAGGTGATGAATCTATTATGGTTTACTTTAACAAATTGAAGAAAATGTGGAATGAATTTTAAGCAATGGTTATTGAGTTTAGTAGACCTAGAAAGGGTGACTTAAGCCAGGTAGCTCACATCATAAGCAGATTACCCAGTGTGACATTAAATTGGGAGACTTCTTTTGAAAGGGTGACCATCAAAGACTTAAGCCATTTGGATGCTTGGTCTGTACATGTGTTAGTCCAACCAGAGGCAAGTTCACACAAGTGTGTTTTCATAGGATAGATATGCTAGCGGCTTCAAGGGATACGTCTTGTTTAATATTGAGGATGAAAGAAAGTTCATATCAAGAGATGTGGTGTTTGTAGCTGATACATGTCCTTACAAGGGAAAGGAAACTGAAGATTGTTCAACCACACCTGGCAGATATTTCAGAGTTAAACTACCACAGTATATCTCATGAAGAAGAGAAGATTGTCATCAGCCATCACCACTTCATCATTATGGAGATTGAGAAGAATGGTGAAGTTGAAAGTTACCAGGCAAGGTTTGTAACCAACGGCTATAACTAGGTTTGAGGGGTGGATTATTTTGATGTGTTCTCACTAGTGGCTAAACTTGTTCAAGTGTGAATGTTCTTGGTTATGGCTGCAATAAATGACTATGGCAATTAGATGTGGATAATGCCTTCTTACATGGGTATTTGGCATTTGGCAGAAGAGGTTTAAATGAATCTGCCACAAAGATACACCAAGGGAAGAGAGGGACAAGTTTGCAAGTTAATTAGGAGTTTGTATTGCTTGAAACAGGCATCTAGAGAATGAAATTGGAGTTGTCTAAAAGACTGTTAGAGTTTGGCTTGAATCAGTTTACACAAGGTCACTGTCATGGAGATTTTCTTGCAATGCTTGTGTATGTAGATGATGTATTAATCATAGGATCAAACTGTAATCATGTTGCTGCATCGAATAAATAGTTGCATCAATTGCTCACTATCAAGGATCTTGGGATTGCAGGGTATTTTTTGGGATAGAAACCTCAAGAGATGATTTTGGAACATACTTGTGCCACATAAAATATATACAAGATCTTAAAAGAGATGTAGGCTTGGAGGATTGCAAAGTGCCTACAACACCTTTACCACTAGAACTTAAGCTTACAGGATTTAATGGAAACCCTGAAAATATAGGAGACTAATTGGAATGCTCTTGTACTTGAATATGACCAGACGGTCCAGACCCGATGAGTTATGCAGCTCAAGAACTGAATGATCCTTCTACTTCTATCATTGGGATGCAGCCATTTATGTTCTCAAATACTTAAAAGGTACACCTTCTCTTGGATTACACTTTAATTTATGTATCCTCAATGCCTTTTGTCATGCTGACTGGGCAACATGTAAAGACACAAGAAAACCAATCACAGGATATTGTGTCTTCTTAAGAGATAGTCTCATTTCATGGAAAAGCAAGAAACAAGCTACAGTATCAAGGTCCTCAGCAGAGGCAGGGGACTACGGTTTGTGAGCTACAATAGCTTCACTCCTTGGCTAAGGGTTTTTAGCTGAAAATACCTCTTCCCATTACTATGTGGTGTGTCAATCATGCCACCAATTTTTAATGAAAGGATAAAACACCTTGAGATAGACTGAGATAGACTGCCATGTGGTTCTCAATAAGTATAAAGAGGGTTTTGTCAAGCCAGCCTATGTTCACTCTGCAGCACAGGTGGCTGACTTCACCAAATTACTACCAACAGCTCTCTTCAGCAAGAAGTTGTCCAAGTTGGGTGTGACTACCTTCATCCACACTCCAACTTGAGGAGGGGGTATATAAGAGTATTACTATGACTTACGAGTTTTGTCGCTTATCACTTGTACAGTCTCGTTTATCTTTCTCTTCTATTTGACCTCTTAGAAAGGACAAAGTCGCTTTGCTTAATTGCATTTTGTTTTTGCATGGACATAAAAATGTAAAATCAAGCTGCGTGTAAACTGATTTTTGGTGAAATGAATATCGTGAGTTACAACCTGAGATTTCTACAATGTTTATCCTTTCAGAGCACAATATGATAGCATGAAGAAAGTTTGTAAACATATGTTTCCCTTGATTGGAAGCGGAAGATTTGTTACTGCACCAATAATCACAGAAAATGGTGAACCTACGAAAGATCCTATTGTACTTCAGCAAATTAATCTTGGAACAAAAAATGGTAATGATGGAATTTCCTTCGTTGATACAATGCAACCCAAGGTTGCAATGCTGTTAAGCCACAACTGCATGTTAGTTACTAAACACTAATGAATCGAAATGTATCTTGAAATAACAGATGCTTCAACTGAACAACCACCATGTAATGGTCCTATGGACAAGAAAGAGATTAACTGGAAACTTACATTACATCAAATAGGTTGGTAATTACTTGGTTGGTTTTTATGCTTCTGTCTGTAGCTATTTCCTTTTATTATGTGCTATTGATGTGTCGTGAGTTCTTTCATTTAATTTGTTCTGTGATACTTCTGCCAGGCCTTGATGTGGTCCGCACTGACCGAACACTAGTGTTTTACGAGAAGCAAGAAAATTTGTCGAAACTCTGGGATATCCTATCTGTCTACTCGTGGTTTGATTCAGATGTCGGGTATTGTCAAGGTCAGTTTAAACTTAAACCTTCTTTTCAGGTGTTTACTCTTACTTATTCTCTTGATTTGTCTTTTTCAGTGATGTATATGCCACTCATTATTAACTGCACTGATAGACCAAGGCCTTAGTTTCATAAGTTTCCCTCTTCTTCTATTGTTTAATAATGGGTTAGTTACACATTTCATGTAAAGGTTTAGTCTAATTGCAAATATCCATCCTTGAAAACTACTATACCTTTTCTCTTTGTTTCCATTCTACAACTTACACCCTGGAAAATTGAGGTAATTGAAATGTTCTTTTTTATTTTATTTATATATTTAGTTATTTCTTGGAAGTAACCAAGCCTCCTGGATAGCTCTTTTGCTATTAACATTAGTTTAACTGTGTAGTTCTTAGCATGTGCTCAATATGTACTGCCAAATGATTCCCTTCTCCTGAAATATAATATCATTGAAACCTTTTGCAGTTTCGCTTCCGTAGAGTAGAAGGATGTACATTCTAAGTAATTCGACAAGCCAACTTTATCTAAATTCTTTCCTAATCATTTATTTTGATATACTTAAATTGTAGAATGCTTTTGGATTATCTTCAAACACACTACATATGCTATGTTACGTTAGTGTTGTATCTTAAATAACAATGAAATCTTATTCTAAAATTTTATTTGATGAGCAGGTATGAGTGATCTTTGCTCTCCAATGATTATTCTTCTTGAAGACGAAGCAGATGCATTTTGGTGCTTTGAACGTCTAATGCGGAGATTGGTACCATAATTCACCTTTTCTTTTTCTTGAAATGTTCTTTTTTCCTACATCATGCTCAATCCCTCTTGTAGATTTTTGTATTCATTCGTTTTTAACTTTGTAAGCAAAGAAACCTCTCTGGCCTATATTGTTTTACATAATGCAGAAAAATTACTGTTTGATTGCTCTCTCTCAAGATTAGTTTTCAATTGCTCTCTCTCTCTCTCTCTCTCTCTCTCTCTCTCTCTCTCTCTCTCTCTCTCTATCTATCTATCTATCTATATATATATAAATATTTATATGTGTGTGTGTGTGTATACACATAAATTATTGCAGTGCTTTTTGAAGAATGAAAGATCTGTACTGTAGTTAGTCTGGTGAAATTGAAAGATTTTGATTCATCTGTACCATATATATCTCAAACTTGCAGTTAATTGAATTTTAGTCGGTCATTCAATTGTTTATTTTAATTTTTTATTTTTTTATTTTTTTGTTTAAGCTGCTTCAGCTTATGATATTTTTCTTTTGTTGATGTTCCTCTTTAAGAGAGGGAATTTCAGGTGCACTGACAGCTCTGTAGGAGTGGAGTTGCAGCTCGTTAATCTTGCTTCAGTAACACAAGTTGTTGATCCTAAACTTCATCAGCACTTAGGTAGTGTTCTCTCTCCGTAGTTTCACCTTCCAAATTGAATATGTCTACATCAATATTATTTATTTGTCAAAAGATGATATATTCATGGTTTCTAATTGTCTATGCCCACCATGAGATGATGATAATCAACTCTCTCTCTCTCTCTCTCTCTCTCAAGCAAGTTCAATATGGAAGTAACAAAAATATTTTTATTTTTTCTTCAACAGAAGCCCTAGGTGGGGGAGATTATCTATTTGCTTTCCGAATGCTTATGGTTTTGTTCCGTCGAGAATTCTCTTTTGGTGACTCTTTATACCTTTGGGAGGTAAATATTTTGTTGTTGCGTGTTTCTGTACTTCAACTTCTTTTATATTTTTACTATATATTTTGAAAATAAAGTAGAATAACTAAACACTTGAATTCTTAAAAACCATATATTCTCGGCATAACTTGTCCCGTTTCCCAAACACTGTTTTTACCAGATGATGTGGGCCTTGGAGTATGATCCTTATTTATTTACCATGTACGAGGATAGTGATTCTGGTTGTGAAAAATCAGAGAAATCTAAAGACAGGGCAAAGTCGAGAAGGCAATGCGGAAAATTCGAAAGAGAAAACATGAGAAATGGAGATATTGCTCCTCTCCCAATCTCAGTTTTTCTTGTAGCCAGCGTCCTAAAGGAAAGGAGTACAAAGTTGCTGACAGAAGCCCGCGGCTTAGATGATGTGGTGAAGGTTAGCTCCACCACTGCTACTGTATTTTACTTTTACTTTAGTTTATTTATTCTATTAATGAAGTTGATTGTTACTTTTCTAATTAATATACCCAAGGATTGGCTTTTTGTCTGTAGTGATGTACTGAATTATTTTATCATTGTGATATTTTCCTTTAAAGGTTTAAAAGTTTTCACAGTTTATAGATTTGAGAAATTCATAATTGGCGAATTATAGGTGTGAACTACTACTCTATGGGTTTATCTGCCATTTTTGTTCAAGTTATATTCCTGTATTTGATGATGAAATATTTCCAAAAGCTCTTTGTGCCCTTTTGTTCTTGAGTTGCACTGGGAATGTTGCCATTGACTTTACTGCTGGTGATCTAGGTGTTTTATTTTCCCTTTTTTTTCTCCTCTTAACATAAGAGATAATAAAATGGAAAAGCAACATTGCAGAGCTTTTCAGAAAATTTTAATAGATTAACAAGGTTATAATACTGATGAAAGAACATTTCATGTTGAATGTTTTCAGATTCTAAACGACATTACTGGTAACCTCGACGCTAAAAAGGCTTGCACTGGTGCCATGAAACTCCACAAGAAATATCTGAAAAAGGTATGACTCAATTGATCAGTATAAATTATACTTAGGAGGGTGTATTCAGTTGAGATTCTATAAGTGACTTCTTAAAACTTTTGATATATGTAATTTGTGTTTGAAATCTAAACAAATCTTAAGAAATCCCGACAAATCCCAGTGTTAAGTAATGCATTTGTTCTGATTTTGAGTTACATTTTAAGACCTTTTAATATCCGAGATTTTTCAAGATTTTTAAATTTAAATGACATCCTTTGAAATCTTATGTTTGGAGGTGGGATTTGGGTTGGGATTTTGTATATGTTATCTTTTGAAAATCCCTGAAAGTATTAATAAGTCTAGATAAATCCAAGTACTAAATAAGTTGAATACCTTGTAACTTGTTCATGTGAAGTTTAAGAACTCATCATAATTTGGGAAATTTTCTCTCTGTTATTTCATCAAAACCAAAACGTACAATGAGAACGATGCTCGATTATATACTCGAGCTTAAGGTCCCATAATGACCATTACAGCACTGCCACGTCAACTAAAACACAATTAACTAAAATGCTGAAAAAAAAAAAGAACACGCTTTTATGAGTAAAGGCGTGGAACAAAAAAAACAGGAAAGGAACATGCACTCATGCACAGCAAATATTTCAAATTGTAAACTATAATCCCAACACCCCCCCCTCAAGTGGGAATGTGGCTTAAATCCACCATTCCCAACTTGAGTAAGAAGAACCGAAAATCAGCACCACCAAGAGGCTTGGTAAAAGTGTCAGCAGGTTGAAGAGAGGAAGAGATGTGATGAGGCAAGATGAAACCATCCTTGAACTTGTTTCGGACAACATGACAATCAATGTCCAAATGCTTGGTCCTTTCATGGAAAACCGGGTTTGCAGTGATATGAAGAGCTGCTTTGTTGTCACACCAAAGAGGAATAGGAAGGGAAGGCTGAAAGTGCAGATCCTTAGCTAAGCCAACAATCCACTGCAACTCACAAACAGTAGCAGCCATTGACCTATATTCAGCTTCGGCAGAGGATTTAGAGACGGTCTTCTGCTTCTTTGTCTTCCAAGAAATGAGAGCATCCCCTAAGAAAATGCAATAACCAGTAATAGACTTCCTTGTGATAGCACAAGTACCCCAGTCAGCATCACAAAAGGCTTGAAGAAGGCCAGAAGACTGTCTAGGAAAGTAAAGTCCCAAAGTGCAGCTGCCTTTCAAATACCTGACCAAATGTATGGCTGCTGACCAATGACTCTCCAATGGAGCTCGAATGTACTGACTGAGTTGCTGAATAGCATAGGAGGCATCTGGTCTTGACAAATTCAAGTACAAGAGCCTTCCCACAAGTCTTCTATAAGGTTCTGGGTCTATCATTGGGGAATCATGATGTGTAGAAAGGTTAAGGCCATGTGGGAAGGGAGTGACAGTGGCTTTACAGTCCTGCAACCCAAGATCCTTGACTAAGTCAAGAATATACTTCCTTTGACTGAGGTGCACACCCTGATTAATTTGAACAATCTCCAGCCCAAGAAAATATTTAGCAGGGCCAAGATCTTTGATTGTGAACAATTTGTCCAGATACAGCTTTAAGTGGTTGATGTCATCTGTGGAAGATCCTGTGATTAAGACATCATCTACATAGATGACGAGGGCCAGAAAACCTTGGGAGGTATTGTGCACAAAAAGACAATGATCATGCGTAGACTGATGAAACCCATAAGCAACCAATTTTTTTGAAAATTCCAAGTTCCATTGCCTAGAGGCTTGCTTCAAACCATAAAGGCTCCTTTGCAATAGACATACTTCACCTTTCTTTGCCTTAACATAACCCTGAGGTGGCAACATGTAGACTTCTTCTTCAAGGAATCCATGCAAAAAGGCATTATTTATGTCAATATGATGTAAAGTCCATCCATTTTGCACAGCCAAAGCAATCAACAATCTTACAGTCACTAATTTTGCCACAGGAGAAAAACTCTCTCTGAAATCAACCCCTTCAATTTGTAAATATCCCTTGGCCACCAACCTTGCTTTATATTTGTCAATGGAGCCATCAGGATTTCTTTTAATTTTGTACACCCACTTTGATCCAATGGCCTTTTTACCAGGTGGAAGAGTTGTAAGTTTCCAGGTGTGATTAAACTCCAAGGCATCCAACTCTTTCTGCATAGCTAACACCCATTGAGGATCCTTTGCAGCCTGTCCATAAAACAAAGGTTCACTTGCTGTCTTTTCTACTTCTGTCATGAATGATCCTTGTTCTCTTTGTAATGGTTCATTGTGGTCAGTGTGAGCAACATAGTCCTGAAGCCAGGCAGGTGGCTTTCTCAACCTTCTACCCTCAGTTTGCTGTGGTACAGAATCATTCACTTCAGGTAAACATTCCCTTGCATTGTCAATCCTATCCTCTTCTTCAATATCTTCAACTGTATATGGTAAGGTGGTTGTGTTTGGTAATATGACATGTGGAACAGTTTCTGAAGTTGTCTTATGAAATGGAAAAATGTCCTCATAAAATGTCACATCCCTTGAGATGAAAATAGTCTCATTCTGCAAATCATAGAGCCTGTGTCCTTTAACTCCACCAACACTTCCCAGATAGACACAAGCCTGTGCTCTATCATCAAATTTCTTCTTTGTGGTGTTAAGTTTGCAAGCATAAGCCAAACAACCAAATACCTTAAACTTCTCATAGTTTGGCTGTTTCCCATTAAGCAGCTCATATGGTGTCTTCCAACCTAAGACTTCACTCGGCAAAGAATTCAGAATGTGTACTGCACTTAACAATGTGAATGGCCAAAATTTCTTGTCCAGGTTTGATTGAAATAACAAAGACCTGGCAATTTCCAGAATGCTCCTGTGTCTTCTTTCTACTATACCATTTTGCTGAGGAGTATAGGGACATGTTCTTTGGTGTATGATTCCTCTCTCCTTAAATAAGCTTTGTACATCTTGGCCCAGGAATTCTGATCCATTATCAGTTCTGATCTGCTTCACAAGTCTACCAAACTGGACTTTCACCATTTCAAGGAAATGTTTCAGGTTCAGACCTGTTTCAGATTTATACTTCATAAGGAATATCCAGGTGCATCTTGTTTTGTCATCCACTATTGTCAGCATATAGGACACATTAATGATAGACTCATCATGACAGGGTCCCCAAACATCAACATGTATTAGATCAAACATGTGCTCAGTCTTGGTTGTGCTGAGATGGAAAGGCAATCTGCTTTGTTTTGCTCTATGGCATATGTCACATGGTTTGACATCTTGTCCTTTGCAAAGAATTTCCAGGAAGTCAATATGCTTAAGACATGATGTTGAGCTGTGTCCCAGCCTTCTATGCCACAGCTCTAATTCTTTATTACCACTGTCACCCTCCTTCACTTGATTAACTGCACAACTTGTGCCTTTGATAATGTATAAACCTCCATGAATCAATCCCTTTGCCAGTGGTTTTCTACTTTCTAATTCTTCCAGGCTACATTCCTGTTTATTGAATATACAAACCAAGCTTCTTTCTTCAGTAAGTTGACCAATGGATAACAAATTGTACCTAAATTCTGGTACTATTAAGACATTTTTCAAGATAATGTCTTCATTTAACTTGACATTCCCTGCCTTCTTCACCTTAATCTTGGCTCCATTTGGCAAATTGACTGTAATAGGCATTTCTATGACATTGTAACTCTCTACCAACTCCAGGTTACAACAAATGTGTCTACTGGCTCCACTGTCCACAATCCAGCTGGTTTCTTCAATGTTGTCCAGTAAGGAGAATCCAAAATGATTGATATTTCCTGAGAAGTCACTGTGATGTGCATAAGCAGATGAATCTCCACCTTGTTGACCAGCCATATATTTTGCAATCTCTTTCTGTAATAAGGAGCTAATGTCACCAAATGGACCAACAACTTGTTGTTTGTCATTATCAGTTTCACTGGATTTGTTGCTAACACTTTGGTCATCCACCATATTAGCAACTTGACCAAATCTTTGATTCTTCAGTTCCTTATACCAATCAGGGTACCCATTGAGTTTGAAACATCTTTGAATATCATGTCCATTGTAACCACAGTGTTCACAAAACAATTTTGCTCTCTCTTCCTTAGAAAGCCTAGGCTGTCCTCTCCCCCTACCTGAATAATTATTATTTTGTCCAAATGAGCCCCTACCAGCAGCATTCCTTCCAAAATTTCCTATACTTGCTCCACCTCTTCCATATCCAGCTTTCACCGACATCACTGAGTTGTCCATTCCTTCTAATCCTGAGTTATGAATAGATTTTTGTTTTTCCACCTTCAAAATCATAGAATATGCCTTGTTGATGGTAGGCAAAGGCTCCATTAGTAATATTTGATTCTTTACTGGTTCAAAAACGTCATTTAGTCCCATCAAAAACTCCATGAGCCTACTTTCTGATTCATTATCATTGTATGCCTTTTCGGCACCACAGTTACATTGAGGCAAAGCCACCAAGCAAGCATACTCATCCCAGAGACATTTTAGCTTTGTGTAATAGGTTGTGACAGTAAGTTACCTTGTGCAAAGTTTGATATCTCCTTCTTCAGTTGGTATCAAAGTGGTCCATTACTTTCCCCATATCTTTCCGCTAATTCATCCCATAGCTGTTTCGAACTCTTTACGCACATGAATGCTTCAACAATGTCTTTCGAGATCGAATTCAGCATCCACGACATCACCATAAACTCTACCTTTTCGTACTGTTCATAGTCCTCTGAGTCTAGATCTGGAACGGTGACTGTGCCTTTGATAAAGCCTAGTTTGGATTTTGCTCCAAGCGCTAGCCTCATTGCGCGACTCCAATGAAGGTAATTAGATCCAGTGAGTAGGTTGCTCACCAACACCATCCCTGGATGATCTGAGCCATGAAGTAGAAGTGGATCGGAATCGCGTGTGTATCTGTTAGCTGTTGTTTCTCTGCCTCCTCTGCCATCTCCATTGCGCGCCATTGATTACCTGCTCTGATACCATGTGAAGTTTAAGAACTCATCATAATTTGGGAAATTTTCTCTCTGTTATTTCATCAAAACCAAAACGTACAATGAGAACGATGCTCGATTATATACTCGAGCTTAAGGTCCCATAATGACCATTACAGCACTGCCACGTCAACTAAAACACAATTAACTAAAATGCTGAAAAAAAAAAGAACACGCTTTTATGAGTAAAGGCGTGGAACAAAAAAAAAAGGAAAGGAACATGCACTCATGCACAGCAAATATTTCAAATTGTAAACTATAATCCCAACAGTTCAAACTTTCGAAATCCAAAATGAATACACCCTAAGATATATATCTCAAGACTTTAAAATCTCAATTTGAATAACTCAAGACTTTGCAAAAGACTTTAAACACGTCAAGATTTCTAAAATCTTGAAAATTCTGAAAAGACTATGTTTACTCTTCAAACTATATCAGTGCAAGATGATTGAAATTCTTTCTTGTTTCCCCCACTCGTAAACTGAACTTCTGCTTGTTTCTGTAGCTATTATTGTCCATTACTTTCATAAAATGTGTATATTTGTGTTGACTTGATCATATTTCTGTGTTTCACCTGATTCCGTTCAAATGTCACATTGTAGGCAAAAGCTGCAGGACAGAGTGCGAAAGTGTAGCTATCGATTATTTTCAGCTTTCAGGGGAACAACTCAGACAACATGCACTGTACATGCAAATCCACTGTCCAGGCTAATGTATCCAGAGTATATATACGGAGGAGAAGACTAAAGAAGTACACAATTGTTGTATATGAAAATTATTCTTCTAATTTATAGCACTAAACACATCAATTCACTGTATGTTCAATTCGTGAAAATTGTAAATGCCACTAGTACGTGGTGGCCCTCATTTTTGCACACGTCAATAGCCCTGTCAACAAAGAGATGTTCATTGATGTGTACCTTGTGTATCAAAGATGCTCCTTCAAAGTTTAAGATACAAACGAAAAGTAATAAAATTTAAATTAACTTTTGCGTGTGTTGTATCACTATTTCCACATTGACTAACATCGCCTCTAATTGGTCTATTTTGGACGTCAAGTTTCATATATAAACTCAGACATAATGAGTATTTCCAATGCAAACAAAATGAGGTTTTAGTTTATATGACATAAAAAGATAGGAGAGAATTGCATGTTCGCTGATCCGTAAGATAAATATTAGCATATTTATATTGTTGTGAAAGTATTTGCATCAGTAAGAAACTATGCAACTTAATTAAGGATTTATTATCTAATTAAATGGTGGCTTAATAATGGTGATATTTTGTAACAAAATAAATCAAAAGCTGCACGTAAAATCAGATCTTGAATTAAAAAAAAAAAAAGTTCTACGGTAATTCATAAGGGTGGGCAAAAAAATCGAATTTCTCGATCCCGAACCGGACCGAAATAGTCCCGTTCCGAAAAATAAGGTTCCAATCGATTTTTAAAATTTTCGTCCCGTTCCCGGTACCGAACCGGTTGAAACAATGTCGATATCGGTTTTTAATATTTTTTTTCCGAACCGTCTTGTTTGTCCCGTTTTATTTTTTTTGTACAAAACTATTATCTATATATATATTATGTATATATATATTATATATTATTATTATATTTATATTAGTATTATATTTAATTAGTTTTGAACTTCTTGTTTGATATTTCAGTCCCAGGTTTTAAGCCCAATACACTCTTGGCCCAAAAAATTTTAAAAACCCATGTACTATTGTATTATTTGGCCCAGCCGCCCAACTTTCAACTGAGAAGGCAAAGACATTAATTATTTTACTGTGACATTGCCTATTGAAGTGTACCCTTTGAAT